GGCCGCCAGAAAGCGCCACCTCCAGGGCCTTCAGCACCTCCGCGTCAGAGCTCAATGGTACCACTCGCTCAGCGGTGCGTATACCTATAATCCATCCATATCAATACACATATACATCAAACATGCCAACAATCCTAGAGTTTCGATTGCAGATCCGAATCAGGCTTTCGCCGATCCATTTGCCAAGGGAGTCTGCAATCACTTCGTCAAAACGGTGAATTTTCTTTAACTTCTTTGTTGATTTCTATGTTATTTGCTGTTGTTCTTCAGGGATTTTGAATTTCCCCCCTTTCTTATGTGTTAAACTGTTAATTGTTGATTTCTATTGTTAATCCGATGTGTTTCTTCAGGGATTTTGCCAGTACGGGGATAACTGTAAGTACTTTCATCCTAAGAACAACTTGCAGAACGCACATCCCCGAGCTGCACCAGGTAATTTTACTCATCTCCATGGAATTTAATTCACTTTTTATTTCAATTCTTGATATTTTCTTTTAATTTTTATTATGAGCTAAGGAGACATTTTTATTTTCTTGCTTCCTTATTATGATTATTGGAGTGTTGAATTATCTCATGAAATTGTAAAGAACTAACAAGTTTGGTCGCAAAAGCTCTAGCTGCTAAGTTATAAATTTATTGTTTCAGTTTCTAGCTCTTTAGAAATTGAAAACGTCTTTCACAAAAGTTGGAAAGTGCTTTTGAGATAATTGTGTTTGGCCTAGCTTCAATTTCTGTAGTGGAGAAGCTGGCTTAGAAAGTAGGCCAGACAAAGACAAACAAGGGTGTGATTCTGAAGCTCACAGCAGCTTGCTCCTGGCTCATGATGTACTATAAATGTCTAGAATAATAGTGTTCTTTATATGTGTGTGTGTGTGTATTGTTTATTTTTAGATATTTTATCAATCTAGTGATCTTACATTATTGTGATTCGCAGCAGATGCGATGAACACTACTGTGGAAACCTCATGGGGCAATTTACCCCCATCCCTTAAGCCTCCTCCGGAGGGTGGATATCTGCATCTTCCCGTTGTGGACTGGGGATAGGTTGGTTCTCTAATTTATAGACTACCATATGTTATTAGTTTTGTTATAGAATTAAACTCGTTTCTTCTACGATCTGCTACATCATCTTGGCGTAGAGTTCAAGGTGTCATGAACAGGTTGTTTAGGTTTAGCAATCAGTTTGTTTCACCGAATAGAGCTAGAAGAATTGATTTTAGGAGGAGGTTGTCTTTTAAAAATTTCTATCAGTTGGGGGATTGAAATAAGCAACCTGAAAGTTAAAAGAGGAAGAATAATGCTGCCTTTTACCTAACATGAACATTGTGCATCTCTGTTCTTGTATCTGGAAAAAGGTACCCTAACTGTGGTTGTGGATTAAAATTTTCAGGCACATGTAGTTAACAATCATGGCTAATAGCCTAATACTATGGATTTGCTGGATGAAATGATGGGTTGATTCTCTTACGGTACAAGAGCATGGCGTTTGTTGATAGCTTGTGTACTCTGCAGATTTGGATTTACCCTAGAGCAACAGAGACTGATGTTTGACTCTAGGAGGTTCATGTAATAGTTTGATTCTCTTCACCACTCCATGGCTTTGGAGCATATTTATTGGATTCAAAATCTATTAAATAAAGTTTATCATGCTTGTGAATCTGGATTTGAATACGACTCCATTACAATTACAATCACCTGCTTTTCCTCTCAAGGACATAAGATGGAAGGTTTTCTTTGATGAAAATATGATATTTCATTAAGAAAAGTATAGCTAAACTATACTTCCAAATCACCGTCAAAATTCAAGACCTTTCTTTTTAAATTGAGCTGCCTAGACAAAGCCTGTTCTGTTAGTTTCCTTTCTTTTTTTCTTTTTCGGCTGGTTTCTTAATTTTGCTGGCATTGGAATGAAGCTGCCAAGGAACCAGAAAAAATGTGTAGATAAAGATGCTAATTTTGTAATTTTCTTATTTAAGATGTGAAATTTGTCGATATTTAATTAAGACGCTAACCTTTCAACTTTTTTTTTTTTTTTTATAATAACGTCACATTTTTTCCATATAAGGTTTAGTTCTAGTCTTCTCAACATTCTCACAAAAAGTGGCAAGCTTTTGTCAAAATCCCGCAAGTTATCCAAAAGCAAACTGGAATTTTATTCATATGCAACCACAGCATTTCAAGACATTTTCAGGCAACAGAGGAAGCCTTCAGAAATACACCAGACATTACATAAGATTCAGGAGGCAGAAATGCAAATTTTCCTTTATCTGTTTATTAAAACCTTTAGACAAACATCTGTTTATTTATGCACCCTCACATACATGGTCTGCAGCACACGCAAAGTAACTCTCCAGGGCTCCAGGTCTTAAACATGCGAGTTGCAACCATAGGTTACTAACATGAAGAAGCGAGTACCTCCAGCAAGCAAGCAGCGAATTGCATTTGAGTCTCCTCATCTATGGTCAAGAAGAGAGGCACATGCACAAATAGCGATTTGGTTCCATTCTGCTCCGCAAAGTGGAGGGAGTGATAGTAAACGTAATTGCATACAAATCGCCCTGCGTCATCAGAAGTCATCACGTCATATCCCTTCTTTGATAAGGCCTTTGTTATCTCCTCAACAGGAAGTGAAGTCTGCATAGAATTGATGAATCTTTTTAAGGTCGGATGGAACAGAGGAACGGATATAGGCATATGAAATTTGTAACCCCATGAAATGAAAATAGTTCCTCTCTCAGACAACTTCTTATAATTATTTTCAGACATCATATAAGGACACCAATTAATGCTGAAATGTTTGGCCATTAAGAAGAAATATGAACTTTGTAATAGGTAGGTACCTCAAAAGCTCAGAGGATACAAATTTCTAGTAGGAACAACAGTAACTCCAGAAGGTCTAGTTCATAGGTAGAACTGACTGTAAAATTATCAAATTGTTGTTATATAATGGGGAAGCTACCTTTCGCACACGTGTGATTCCACCATCTGCTGGAATAATGGGTACTTTCTGCAAAAGTTTAAGATATTTTTAATGAAATGGGACAAAAGGAAAGGGAAGCATGATCAACAAAGAATTGTTGGCTGTTATTGTGAAATTTTTAAGAGATGCATCTGACCTGAGGTTTCCATCCCATCTCATCAGGACAACGAAAAGTGGCTTCATTCACAGCTTGTTGCTCAATAGCGAATCTACTTGCACCACTATTAACTCCGAAATGTACCTGAAGGAAAATTGTCTGAGTGAGCAAGAAACACAGTACAATTTTTGTAAGCTAATAATCTTGCTGCATAAAAGAGAACTCATTGAGATAGAATTTGTTGCCAAAGAAAATATATATATATATATATATATATATCTCTGATCAGCAAACAGTCAGGATAGCCCTTCACTGTGTTTTATTTGAATATTTTGAAAACAGAGAATACAGCATAACAAAAGGCTAATCTCAGGTTCACCAACGCACTAATGTAGACGACTTCGAAATGCACATTGTTTTCTATTACTCTCTTCCTATTTCTTTTAGAGATTGTACTTATTATGATGCATAGAGCAAGTAGCTTTGAGCAACATTCTTCAGGCCTACTAGATACAATCACCAACAAAGAATTGACAAGAGCTACATTGTCAAACCATAGCAAAAGTGCACATTCAAGTACACACTGAGGAAACCATGAAGCTGACACACAGGTAAAAGCTAAGCAATGGCACTAATGAGAGACAAGTGAGCAACTAACCCAAACAATTTTTCCAGAACTTGAAGATTCAGATTCCTTCCCACTTAAGGCAGACTGCAACGTCTGATACAGCGCAGGGAGTGCTCCCTGTCCTGCAGTCTCAAGAACAGTGCAACTTCCAAGAGTCAGGCCTTTTGCCAAACCCTTCTTCTTTGTGTATTCTTTCAAATTACTGACAATTGTCTCGGTTGGATTGTCTGAGACTCCATGGAATTTCTTAAAACCAGTCAGATGGATGGTTACTGCCGGTGGCCCTTCAGACCCCATAATCAACAACTAAGATGAAACTAAGAAATGCCTTATAGCATGAAAATTTGATATGCTTCTCTAATAAATAAGCACCTGCATAAAACATCGAGAAATTTAGTCAGTCAATAACACAAGCACAAAGAGCAAGGACTAAACCCAGACAAAAAAACATATATACTTTGCTTTTAATGGGAAAAAATGGAACTTTCACAGACCCAACTCTTAATCCATAAAAAGCAATAACAAAACTCGTACATACAAAAGAGGAGAAACATGTCAAAATTGTTCTTTCTTGAATTACTTAAATTGGAGTAAAACACCACAATTCACAATATAAAACCAAACAAGAACAACCCTTTTATCTGATTGATCTAATCGACAATGAAATCATGCCCATCTAACAGCAGATTTAAAACCCAAAGCCCCCAATCATCACAAACCCAATAAAGACACAAACTTGATCAGACACCCAGATTAAGAAAGACAGCAAAAACCCAGAAAATCAACCTGAAAAACAAAAGGCTTGAAATTGGAACATGTGGTCTGAAAATTAGACAAAGGAAGAACAAAAAAGTTTCACGCTTACCTCAATAATCTAAAGGAAGAAAGGAAGAAAGGAAGAGAGAATAGAAAGATGACTCAACCACCAGTCTTACCAACCTAAAGTTGATTAAACCCCTTGAGTAAGCTGATGATAAAGATTCCCATTTGATTAAACAGAGAGAAAGAATATTGTGGATTAAGTGGGGAGTCACTTTCAACAAACTGTGCTTATATACATTTGCACCATATGGGTAATTGTAGATTGTTTTTTTTTTTTTTTTTTTAAAGCATGATTACAATCAGGGAGTGAATAAGAGAAAAAAAAATACACGAAACTCAAAATTATTATAATCTATGGAGATGATTT